GAGTATAAAAATATTATTTTATTAATTAATTTTAATTTGTTTAAATAATAAATATTAATTATTTTTATTAATTATAATTATAATATTAATTATTTTATTAATTAAATTAATAATTAATATTTTTAAAATAAAATTTTATAATTTTTGCTTACCCAAACGATATAACAATAACCATAACCACATCCTTTAATTAGAGTAAGGTTAAATGTTAAATTTGATTCCTCAATAATTTTTTGCACTTTTTTTATCTCTCAACTATAAGAAATGCACTCTGTTAGTCATTCTGTTAATTTAAGCTGTTAACTTCGCTTATGTGGTATTTTTTATATTTTTTTTGATGATGTAGAGAGCAAAATTTAGAAAAGTGATGACATGGACAAATATTTTGACATGTCATGTTACTATGTGCCAAATCCATTCAAATGTGTCTCACATCACTAATAAAGAAAATTGTTTTTTGATTACATGGCACCAAATCTACTCAAATGGGTCCCACATCACTAATAAAAAAAAAATCTTTTGATGACAAAAAATTAAGTGATATTTTTTTATATTTTTTTAATAATATAACAAATTAAATTAAATATTTACCTGAATAAAAAATAATATCAAATCAAATTTTATCAATTAATCATCATTAAACTATAATTATTTATATTAATTAAAATTAAAATTCTAAATTAATTTATAATTAAATCACAATTTTCTCATCAAATTTTTTTTCTTTAACGGACATTATAGTTTCTCGGTAACCAATTTCGGCAACCAAACAAATTTAAATCTCGACAACCAAACAAATTTAAAGTATTTTCTCAGCATCCAAACACCAAAACCATACCATTTTCCAGCCAAACAAATGGAAACCCACTAAGAATTGCTTCTTTGCCCAACTGCTTCTGTTCTTTCCATTTTGAATATTGAAATCATTTAGACAATACTTAAAAAATATGAAGAAAATTATCCAAAAATCCCTCACAACCTGCAACTGGATAATCTTCGCAAACAAACATATAAAAAAAAAAACAAAAAATTGGAGCTGGGTTCGAGGAACCCAGTTGCTGGGTTCGAGGAACCCAGTTGCTGGGTTCGAGGAACCCAGTTGCTGGGTTCCATCGAACGCAGTAGACACAGAGGAAGAAGAGGAAGAAAGAAAAAGAAAAAAAAAAAAAGGAAGAAGAAGATCGAAAGAGGAGAGGAAGATGGATCAAGAAAGGGAGATGAGTAAATTTGTAATTTTTTATTTTTTTATTAAGGTAAAATCAGTTTATGAGTTGGCAATGAGTTGGCGATGATGTGTCTTAAAAAAAAAATTCCAAATCAACGTTTTTTTAAATTGTTTTTGCCATGTCATCAAAAAATTATAAAAAATGTCACGTATTGTAGTTAACGGTTTAAATTAACAGAAATACTAACGATGTGCATTTCTTAAAGTTAAGATATAAAAAAAATGCAAAAAATTATTAAGGGATAAAAAATATGTAACTCACTAAAGTTGAGAGACCAAATTTAACATTTAACCTTAGAGTAAATTAGGCGAGCTTGAGATCTTATGTATTAAAAAGTAAGAATAACTATTGTGATAATGGAATGCATATTAGAAAACTTCTTTTAAAACTTAAGAAGATTTCTCCACGTATATATTATCCGCATTCATCCTATTTTCTTTTGTTGTAAAATTCTCTTTTGCACTTCACTTAAACCTAGTGACCTTTTTAACAAAAAGCTGTGATTGTTTGAATTTTTTTTTCCTTTTTGCTAATCTGGACTCACTTTTTAATGATCCATTGTCAAATAAAGTTAGATTGTCAGTGAAACATTTATTTTATGAGGTTAAAAAATAAATAAATAAACAGAACTTTTTGATTTAAATTTTCATCGTTTTTTTAGTATCAAGATTTTTTTTTTCAACATTTAACTGCCAAGATTAATCAGATGAAGCCTGAATACTGATATGGCATGCTAACTGCTAAGATTAAGAAAAAGACAGTCATGTTTAATAATTTAAATTTATTTAAATGATAAAATAAGAAGCATATAATGAAAAAAAAAATTTTTTTTATATTAATTGTATAACGAGAGATAACTTTCATTTTTTTATTTCACTTTATCTATATGTTATGCGATTCGAATTTAATATATTTTATTTTGAACGAAAAGAGATTATCATTAAATTATTTAAATTATTGATAAAAGAAGAAAATTTTTAATATTTAAAAACTCAATTTTTATTAAATAATTAATATTTTATAATTTAAAATAATTTAAATTATAAAATAATTAAAAAAAAAAACTGACAAGATGAGTCATAGAAAAGGAAATACCGACAAGGTGACGTGTCCGGCAGGCGCATGGTTAACCACGCAATACGTCTGGGGCCCATTTGACGTGGACTCCGACCCGCTATGTTTAGATCCGATCAAATCCACAACTCTGTGTTTTTACATAAATATCCCCACCATCTAACACTGTATTGACATGAGTACCCCCATCCACCGCAGTATAATGCAGGCTGAGTTCCTGCGCCACGTTCGGTTTCACACAGAGGTAGTTCTCCAGCCCACTCTCAGATTGGGCTCAGGATAATTTTGGCCAGGCCTTAGCACGGTTGTGGGTCCCCCAAAAATGGTTGGAAGTTTCGGCCTAATTCTCTGAAATGATTAGGGACGGCCCATGTCACGACCTATGTTCGTGTGCCATAAATAATGACCCAAATACGGCTCGACCTTTTATTTCAAGTTTGTTTCCCTTAAGAAATATGTCTGATAATACAAAAGCCCAAATATTTGGGTTGGGTCTTGCTTCATGATTAAATAATCTAATTTTATCATACGTGCCGATGATGTTATTGTCACAATAACTAATATTACATATATTTATCTTAATTAACTATTATACACTTCAATTTATTAAAAAACAAAAAAAAAAAATTTTGAAGAAAGAGTATCATGTAAAGATATAATAGACAATTAAATTAAAAAAGTGTGATATTAATAATTTAGGATGGGACAATAACTCCACCCCATATATGCAACCAAATTATTAGTAAAAAAAGATACTTTTTATTTATATGATTAGAATTAAAACCTTCGTTTCTTTTGCTCCCCATCTCCCTTTGAGGGTTTTCAATCAACCTGCTGGCTTGTCTTATAGGCGCAACTAAAGCTTTGTTAGACATGCAAACTTTTTTTTTTTTTAATATCTAAAAACTTAAATTTATTATTTATACTTAATTTTATTAATATTTTATATATGTCTGTTAAATTTAATTAATATTTTATATTTGTTTGAGATATAATAAAAAAATTACAACTACAATTATAATACAATACAACACTCTCAAACATAGCATAATTAAGTAATAATTTATTAGTTTGAGAAGAGTTCAAATTTTGTAAATGAAAAGACAAATGTTACAAGAGTTTCTTTCTTATAAAATTTTATTTGATTCAACTCCAAATTAATCAAAATTTAATTTGCTTAAGAATACCAAAAAAAAAAAAAGAAAAAGAAAAAAAAGCCTCATAATAGCTCATACCTGGACAAGTTCGACTGTCTGGTTTTCTACATAAAGGTAGTGTTTGGGCAGCTTCATGATCCAACATTGTTGATATCTTCAGCTGCTTCTACACTTGAAATTCCCGAGGGTGTTTCCTCAGGGAAAACACTCCGACACTCAAGTCAACAATACTCAATATTCTAGAGAGAGATGCTCTCAAAGAGTAATTGCATAGAGAGAAGCATAGAAGAATTAATACCTTGTATGGAGGTAGTTGGGGGTATTTATAGCCCCATGTACTGACATCAGCTTGCATGTGTGTGCATCCCATTGGACCATGCGTCACAGCTCATGTGGGTGTGTCTCCACAATTTGGATCTCGCGGATGTATGAATGGGCCTATTGGGTGTGGCCCAGATTGAATATTGAGCCCCATCTTGTAGAAGTGTTATTAGGCCTATTGGGCATGGACCAGACTGAATGTTGGGCCCAATCCCAACATTACTCCCCCCTCAGCGTTCGGTTGACGAACTGGGATGAAGGTTCTATTGGCCCAACATTCTATGTGAAAGGTGAGGAGTAAACCCCTTCAGATTTTAACGAGTGATCTAGCCTTTGGCTGAGTTTGGCGACATCGTTGGGCGTGTATAGATATGCTTCCTTCCTAATGAATGCGTGCAGGGAAACTGTTATCGAAACGAGTTATGCGGGTTCAGTGTTCGCTAGCGAGCTCAACAAGCTTGTAGAGGCGAGCTCACGCAACGGATTTCCTACTTCTAAACGAGATAGCTTTGAGACGGGCAAAGATTCTTAGCCAAGCGTGCGTTGTCCATAAGGTACAATATGTTATGCAGCGAGCTCGTCTATAGCAGCATGTAGGTGAGCAGGCGGTGGATGAGCTGAGCCATTCCAACCCTTAAAGATTATATTCGCTGAGGTCGCCATGCTATTAGGAAAATAAACTGAAGGAATTGGTAACGATCTGACGTCCGGTATTATTTGATATTCAAAATTGAGATGAATCTCTTACTTGTTATGACCTGATCTCTGAGATTTGGAAATATTTGGGGGTGTGATTCGTAACGACTTGAGTTCTGTAGTTTAGAAATATCTGGGGGTGTAATTCGTAGCGACCTGATCCTTGTCAAATTTGAAATTTAAATTTATAAAATCTCTGAAGAGATATGGTTCAGAGTGGTTAGTGTTCCTCACCCCCCTAATAAATGCTGGCTCAACGTTTGAAGAGACATGACAGATTGACAGCTAAAGCCGGTGTACGTTACACGCCAGGCTATAAATAACTGCCACGCGTAGAACTTTGATTGGTTGGCAAAGAGGCGCGTACGGTAATCATGGGCACGATCACTTAACCCCCTTGTCATTTCTTTTTCTCCTTTGGCATTTCTGTTTCCATATTATCTGTACTCTTTTGCAGCAAAGGACTCCCAAGCTTTTCAGACGACATTTTCAGAGGATTTTAGAGTTGATTTTTTCAGGTAATAACAAATGGAATTTGTTAGAGAAGTTGGAGAACTCTGGGGTAACCAGGGCATGGAAGGGGAAGAAGGTGTTATGTCCATAGAACCGATTGCGATGATTGTACCGCCAGAGCTGCAAGACTTGTCGAAAACCCTTACACCCGAAAGCAGTGCCCGTTCGAGCACACACGAGGGCTCTGGTGCTAATCACTCTTCGTCATCTGAAGGGTCGTCATCAGAAAAGACTCTTAGCGTCGGAGAAGATGTGGGGGAAGGTGTAAGTAGCCCATCGCCAGAAAGTGTGGAGGTGACTGTGGATGTGCCCATGGTTGTAGGTTGGGAGAATAAATTTATAAGTGGCAGGCTGAGCAACCTTCGCAAGGCCCCACATACATTGGGTGCTGAATTTAGGTTTAGGGCAAATTTTCATCATGAGGTAGTGGATTGCGCGACCTCAATTAAAGGATATAAGAGACTGGAGGAGATAGTGAGGCAATATCACGTCCCCAGGACAATTTTGCTCCGAACTGGTACCAAAAACGAAAGGGCCTGCATAGTGTCACCAATAGGGTGGATACCCATGTATGTGGACCACTTCGATGCTGGCCTGCGATTCCCTTTGCTCGTACTGATTTTTGACGTTCTCGCAGAGTACAGGCTGGTGCTGACATAATTGACCCCCAACATCATAAAATTTATTATAGGATTTATGCTGCTGTGCGCAAGGTTAGAGATACTTGCGAAGGCAATCGTGTTTAGATCGCTCTTCCTGTGCCGGCTAAGTACCACTCAAACAAGGTGGTATTACATATCTGGGAGAGAGAAAATAATGATTTTTACGAACGTTAGGAATAAAGTATCTCGATGGAAGAGACAATTTATTTTTATCCGAGATACGCGAGCAGAGAGGGTTAGCAACAATCTGGCAACTTGTCTCTCTAGATGGCGATTAGGGCATACGTATATGAACTATCCCATGCTAACTTCTGACGACCTAAAGCTTAAGGATAGGATAACAAACTATGTGAAGGCGATGGAGTTAGTTGACTTGGAGGCCCTAGTTACCCCTGAGGTGCTTGCTGTGCACGGGTTTGTGGATGTCACAAACCTGTTCAGTGAAGGTACATTTCTGTTGTAAGTTACAGTTTTTCACGATCTGAGTTTTATTGCATTTGTTTGTGCAGGAGAGATGAGTAGCATGCTCGAAAGACAACACGAACGGGCTCAACGTTCACGAGCTAGGGGGGCTGGGTCTAGCACGCAAAGGCAAACGCACTTTGACCAGTGGCCGCCTGCAGCTCATCGCAAAGGGGGGCGAGGCTCCAACTCGGTTTCATGGCCACATGCCAAGCGGAGAGTAGAAACCACTTTTGTGGAGACTCAAAGGTGTGCTCGTGAAGACTTCGACGCTGAAGATGATGTCCCCTTGATTCGGCGCAGATTGAACGCTAGGAATCAATCTGGAGCGGTGCGCTCACCTGACGCGCCCGTTGCCCAGGCGCGCAACCCTGCTGAGGCCTTACCCACAGCAGTAGCTAGCATGGGCCCCAGAATCGCATACCCTGAGGGCTTTAGCTATACTAAAGCCGACTGCCAACTCGCTATGGTCTAGGGTATGCAGAATTTCGTCCCACTTGCAGACCGTCAGCACGCCAAGGGTTACATCCAGTAGCATAGGAGTCATGCGACTATGCTGAAGTTGATGGATGTGAGTATTTTTTCCAAGTCCCAACATGCAGTAATAGATTACAATTAATATTGAAGTGTTGAAGGAGGCACTGACCTAAATAGGACCTCTCCCAAGACCCAAATGCTTCTCTCATTTATGGAGTCACACATGCTGTCCCATTAGATGTCTTCCAACACTCAAAACCCCTTGGTATGATTCAAACTTTAGACTTAAATATGGTTCCAGGCCTTCAGTTTATTCATATTTCATAGTAACAAACTAAGACTAGGCTTATTTGAAATCAGTACTAACAATATTTCTTTTATTCTTTTTATATCTCTCAATATGACATTTTTACATGTAACTTATGTAATATTTTCATATAAAATATAAAAATTTCAATTAAATTTTTTTCCCTACGCACATAGTTTCTATTGATAAGTAGTCTTATTAGTTTGATCAAAAAGTTCTACATGGACAATTCATTTATTTATAAAAAAACATTATCTAAGGTTGCATGCAAAAAAAAAAAAAATCTTTTATTACCATGCGGGAGTCTTAAAATTAAACACTACCCCTTAATTTTAATTCTGACCAACCATATATATCAAACCACATAGTTGATGGTGCATGCAAAAAAAATTTAGCACCAAACAAAAAGTAATAAAGGGAGTATTAGCGATGGACTGCACCTCATTAAAAGCTCTACTTATACTACGTACTAACATTACTTAATTATCACATGCAAACAGCCATAAGTAGGCTACAATAATTCGACAGAGTATAGCCATTATATGCATTAAATTAGTTGTTCTAATCAAAGTTAATTTGGTGCTCTCTATAAATTTAGATTAATTTGTTATGATTTAGATGAAACCAATCAAGAATTTCTGATATCATAGGTTTGTTGGTTTGAAATAGATCTAGCTCAACCGTATAGGGTACCAGGAGCATATGTTGTGGAAAGAATCAGACAGCATCAATCTGTAACATAGGATCCAAACTCTTATGCAAGCTAGGGTAGTATATATACATAAAACTGAAGCAGCAAGCAAAGCTAATTAATTACCAGGCTATATATACTTAATGGTTCTTACTTTGGATCCTCCATTTCAACTTCACCAGCTTCGTGATTTCCACCCTGTAGAATGACCAGGCCAGACCAGGGTAAAAGTGAATCCAAATATTGGAGTATAGTTGTTGTATTAAGATTTGTTAGTTCTTTTTAAATAAAATCTCGAATTTAAATTTTATAAATAAAAAAATAGATATTAAAATTTTTTTTTCTTATTTTCATTTTCTTGTTATAAGTTTCAACTTAACTCGATAGTAAATTAATTAATATTTAATATAATTTTTGAATATTAAAAAGTTTAATTAAAAAATATATATAACTGTTGTAGGTCTATGCATGAATTAGTATGAAGATCAGACATCATGATGCAGTAAGTGATATGGGACTGCTTTCTGCTCAAGTTTTGGTTGGGATTTGGAAATGTGTCGGCAGGCCTAGATGATCCCTTGCCAAAATTGAATTATTGAATTGATGGATTCACATGCCATAAATAAAACGAAGTAGTTTTTTATTTTTTTTTGGTTTCCCGCTTGGTATTCGGGGTTTCGCCCCGACTAATTCAGACCCAATAAGCGCACCTGAAAATGGTGGGTGAATCTTCCAACGGAAGCTATTGCGTGCACAAAATCTCAAACTCAAGACTTTACTTTAGCTGGAACAAGTCACTTACCACTTTATCCAGCCCCTGGTTGATATAAAACGAAGTAGTTTGATTATATTTGGTAGCTGTTTTGTCATTGGCATGACATCTGTCATCTGTGTACCGTATGATAAATAAGGAAATTAGTAGGAATCAAGGTACCGTAACCATATGGGTAAAATTTCCGTTCCTATTTCTATTTTATCTTTTGATCAATTGCCAATTTATCACTTTAGGTGCATTCATATTTTTCTATTCATATTTTTCCATGAGTGAGCTTTAAACCCACCCCTTCACAACTTATTTAAAAAAAGAAAAATTGTAGAGACATACGGGAATGCTATAGTAACATAGAAGTTCGGGTCAAGATGATGCTATTGTATTTGTGCACTCATGTGAAGATTTAATTTAATTAGATTAACTTTTTTTAAAATATATATATATATTATAAAGGTGAAAAATCCTTCTTAAGCCCTCAAATTTATCTCAAAATAACATTTAAATCCCTAAACTAAAAACTAAGTAGATAAACCCTCAACTTCACTAATGATGCAAATAAGTCCTTTTCAAAAAATGATCAAATGGTATTTCATGTTTAATATCACTTTGAAAACATGAATATTTATGAATTAAAGGACTTATTTGCATTGTAAATGAAGTTGGAGGGTTTATCTGTTTTATTTTTAATTTAAGGGTTTAAATATTATTTTAGGGTAAGTTTAAAAGTTTAAAAAGGGTTTTTACCTATTATAAATAGACGTATATAAATTTATAGATGAGTTTTTACGTGAAAAATAATATATATTAGTTTTAACTTTTAACAAAAATTAGAATCTCACCTCTTGCCAACATTATTTAATTAATTAAGGTACGTCCCTACTACTTTCAACCTTTTTACATTCATCAAGTATAAATTTTCATAATTGAACAAGAAGAAAAGATTTCATTTGAAATATTATTAAATCACAATGAACTCAATAAAAAGAATCCTATGGTTGCAAATTTCATTTTAAAATTTGGTAGTGTACCGCTGTCTTGTGCCTTGTAATTAGTTTCTATATATTTCATCTTTTTTCAGCTTTTTCCTTTCTCTCTCCTTCCCACCTTCTTGTTTTTATGGTAATTAAATATTACTGCTAAATTTCACTAGTTTTTCCCTTGCTCACAAGCTGGATGGTGGGGATGGAGACAGGAGATGTGCACAGATGGCGTAAAAAGAGAAGGTTGTAGGACGAATTCGAGGCAATGAATTGCAGAAGGGTTGAAAATAGTTGGGGTGGGTTTTAATTGACTTAAATGGCACCGTACCCTTATTATTTTTAATCATTGACAATAAAAAAATAAATGATTGAAATATTTTATAAATATAATATTTTTTTGCATTAAATGTACATAAAAAAATATAAAAGTTAATATTAATTTTAGTATTAGATAAATTTAATAAGACAATTAATAAATTAAATGTTTATTTTTATTTTTTAAATATAAATTTATAACGAAAAGATGTATTTAATATATTTTTAACTTGTCAACGACTTAAATAGTTCAATGATTATTTTTTTCCGTTGAAAGTAAAAGATTCGGAGTTCAAGTCAGATGTCATACAAGTAAGCTGGGATAAGGGATGATAAATGATTGTTTTTTATTGTACAATCAAGATAAAATAATATATTTTTAATCTATACTTTTAAGATACAATTTAGACAAACTCTTATAATATATAAGTGAATCCTTACTATATTTATTTATATATTTATTTTACGATTTAAACTGTAAAATATAAACTATCAAATAAAAAAAACAATCTCATATATTAAGAGATTTACTTTATCTAATAACTTATTATATAATCCAGTATAATCTAATCATACAACCCTTTTTTCAACATATCATTTGTAGGAAAATAAGAGTGTATAAAGCATCTTTCTCAACCATTCAAACAAAAATGTAAGAATTGCTGGGAATAGCACAAACTACAATCCGCACAATCTTCCTACATAAACCTTAAGAATTTCGAAGAAAAAAAATTAAAAAACAAAAGGAGTTGTGTTATTGTTGTCAAGGAACGGAATCATTGTCATCAAGGGCTGGTTGTGTTCTTAACATTGATGCAGAAGGCATTTTGCTTCCACTAATCCAAAATGGGTCCAAGGCCACACCTTGTTCCGATTCCTTCTCCATTTTTCTGATTCTCCGTCGTCTAACTAGTTTAACGACCAATACTCCGACCAGAATCAACGAAACCAACCCAATAAACCCGACTGCGAACCCGATCACCCACCATCTCCACAATCTCCCCTTCTTCTCCTCCGACCCTCTTGACGGAGAAGAAACAACGACGAGAGTGTAATGCCCCTGATCGAGAGTTGTGCACACGTTCGGCCCCGTCAAATTTCTCAAGTATTCCACCGACCCACCATCCCTAAACTTAACGCATTGAAGCGTTTTGTTTTGGGTTTCCGTTCCATCGGGGAAATGGATTGAAATTGGATCGGCGGTGATATTGAAGGCGAGCTCTTGATCGCCCAATGCACTTATATTTGAGACGTCGTAGGCTTTGAATCCGATGACCGGAGCAACCACGTTGTATCCGGGGACTTGATAGTACTTGGAGGACAAGTTACCCAAATTCTGATACACCACGGCGATTCTCTGAGTGTACGGTATCGTTTTAACCCTCGGCGGGATAGTCAGCCAACCGAGATTGGCACCTCTTCCCCAGATACTGCCGCTGCGTAGCCTGATGACGGAGACGTTCGTTCCGGAGAAATTTGAAGGCAGGGGAACATTGTACAGAGCGCCCTTCCGCTGCTTTGACAATGTCTGATTCGCGTAACTATGAATTAAAGCGTCTAAAGCAATGGGATCGTAGTAGCCGGAGCAATCAACGGTTGAAGAGAAAGACGAAAAGAAGAAGACTACGAAGATGAAGAGCCAGGCCCTGCCACCGTTAGACCCCATCAAAGATCATTCACGCCGGCAGCCTCTTCCCGTCTTTCATGCCTTTGTTACATGGCAAACTCCGCGACTTAACCGTCCTGTATTCAGGGCGATTGTCTTCCGGTTACACATAAAGGATGGAAATCGAACCCATGATAGATCTTCTTCAAAACTTTTTAAAAATTGAAGAATACCGGAGAAGGTAAACCGAAACAACTAAGCAAAAATGGAGAGAAGATGTTTGAGATATGTTGAAAATGTGCTACAAATTTCTGTCCGGACGTTGTTGTCGTGGCTTGAAAATTGGGGGCCTAGGAGAAGGGGACGGTGAGGTGCTGACGGTAAAAGGAAAATAGAAATATAAGAAATAAGGAAACGTGGAGACAATCAAACTTCTTCTTCTTTTTTTTTTAAAGTAATTTACATATATTTGTTAAGTTTTATGGCTAATTAATTTAAAGGATCAATGTTTATTCCCTTTACTTTTTAAAAATTAAATTTTTTTTAAATTAAGTAATTTTAATAAAGTACTATAT